GGAAGGAAGTGGGAGGGCTAGGGGAAAGGATAGAAGGGAATGGGATTAATACGAGAAAATGGAAAAATAGGAACAAAATCTTTGTAAATAGGGAGGAATTGGAAGGGTTGAAGGGAGGGCTTGGCAACTGTGAAAAATAAGAGCCAAGAGAGATTATGTAAAGGTGCAAATTTCCAATGATGAATGTCATTATATTGTATACCTAAAATTTACCAATGATTAGCATGAAAAATCGATAATGCAAAATAGGAAGTAAAGGTCCAAAGTGGTAGGGGTAGTGGGAGGGGCAGGGGCAAGGAAAGAAGGGAAAGGAAAAATGATGAGAAATAGAAAAAATGGAAATAAAGTCTTTGTAAATAGGGAAGGGTGGAGGGGGTGAAAGGAGGGCTAGGTAAAAAATAAATAAATAAATAAAATAATGCAAATGTGATGGCAAATTTTCCAGAACATTCAGCTTCTGCTGTAGCACTTAGGGCAGATTACTGGTTGCCAAAATATGAATGTAAAAACACCTGACTCACCAAATTATTTCCTAGAATAGCTAGCTGGGTGGAGGCTCACCAAGTTAATAACTAAACTCAGCTCTCATGTCTATTGACAAAGGCCATATTTAAGCTTAATAACTCTGTATCCACCCAGAAAGATAAAGGAGGCTTTGATATCCTTCTCAATTGACTGGGAAGAGGAAAATGACTCATGGGGCACCTGGCATGGTGAGTGAGTGTCCTGCATTGGAAATATTCTGAAAGGTGAGTCGAGGTACTAAACCAGTCTTTCATAGACTGGCTCACATTGAGCCTCAGGCAGATGGTGGTTCAAGAAATGAGGCTTTTAAAAGGAAGAAAATCTTGTGCAAGAGAAGCAGAAGACAGAGCAAATAGTCTCTGCATTATGAACACGTGAGTCATGAATTATGCTGCTTTAGAGAAAGAAAAGGTAGTTCAACACCTCCACAACTTTTACTGTCTATCTAACTATAATATTAAATGACCAAAATTATGTGAAGTGTCTATCCCAGTGTCTGACTGCCATGTACTGTCACTCAATATTTGTTTTTTCCTCTTGACTCTGATATGTGCTTTTTGTTTTGTTTTGTTTTGTTTGAAAAGGGGTAGTACTTTAAGATAGCTTTATATAGTTTTATGTACCTTCACATGGCTAAAGCCTTAGTGTTTTAAAGTCTAGGTGTTTATGTTATTTTTACGGTTAACAATAATCAAACATGACAACACATTTAATCATCTGTATCAAGTTTCTGCCATATGGTTCAGAAATTATTTGGGGGAGCATTTTGTAATGAAGACTTCAACTCAGTTTGGCATACTTTCTATCACTTTTCCAAAAACAAACAAAAACCTATATACATAGCCAGAATATACATTTTAAAAATATTGATGATAATTCTATGTAGTTACTTGGTTTTGAATTCTAAATTGTGGTTATTGACATTTTAAATTTAAAATGAATCCTTCTGTTCATTTTCCTGAGAAAATAGATGATGCTTTGAAATGTTAGCAAATTAGAGCAACTTTTCACCTCTTCTATAATAAATTATTCCTCAGGCTAGGAAAAAAAACAATTCCACAAATATTATTGAAAGTCATTTAATTCTGAATCAGGGTAACAAGCATTCTGATACTTAAAATGTGAAATATGTGCATATATTTATATATATGGAATGAACAACCTAAAATATTTGAGTGCCTCTTTTTCAACTCTACCTAGTCACCTACTTCATGTTTGCTTAAAGTGTACATATGATCATTCTATGTATTTAGGACTCTATTAAATTTAAGTTTATGAAATAACTTCGACATATTTTTGTAAGCAATATTTAATCATATATCTCTCATTTAATGATGTTTCACTAAAGTTTTTCTTATTTAGAATATGGTAATATTGCTATCTTCTAGAACAAAATATCAATAAAGAGATGAGGATTTATTTAAGTATATATAGAATTTTGACAGGTTGCATTTCAACCCCTTTGACAATCTCTTTCACATTCTCTGCTCTGACAAACACCCTTTTGGACGACTTTATTCACAACAGACACAACCTTGGTGTTAGGCCAGTCTGGGTACAGACAGGATGTAACTTGTAAGAAGCAGCAGCACTGCTGTGCCAGAAAGATTCCCTGCCAGCTGAGAAGCACACCCACCTCTTCCTTTTGCTTTGCTGCTAAGTAGAGAGACGCCTGGAGAAAGAGGCCACCTTAACTCAGGAGCTCTGGAGTGTGACTGACACCCTGTTCTTTGTAAGGAGGGGACAGTACAAGAGGCAGAACATTTGAGGTGAGGGGAGAAGAAAGGATAGTTGGAAGCTTTCAGTCTTACAGCCGTGTCTCCCTATGGTGTGTATGTGTGTGTGTATGTGTGTGTGTAAATGTGTATACAGGAAGGAGCTAGCATTGTGAAATAACCCCAGCACTGCTGGTCAGCCTGTCTCCCTTTGAAAGACAACAATAAAAAAACTACTTTGAATAATTTCATAACAGGAAATAACACAATGGAAACTGGAGAATTGTGATGTGGAAAAATCTAAGAACTAGAACAAAAGAGGCTAAATAAATGATTAAGATAGTATGTATAAGTAGAACTGAGAATAAATAGAAAGAGAATTTTAGGCACCCATTGTAGTTTACTATGCATTAAGTCACAAAAGTAAGTAAGAGTTAACTATTTGCTAGGTTTTTAAATGTATTGATAGATTTTTAGTACTGTCATCTCCAAACACAATAAGCTGTATTTTCTTTATATTGCAACTTTCTTAAATTCAAATGATAGTAGTAAAGAACTGATAAAGCTTTGATTGCATACATTTCAGAAAAACAAAACTGTTTGTAGTTTAAAAATGTAAATAATAATAATTGGATTATTATTACAGGGCAAAAAAGCATATATGTCATATTTTATTTTAGTCAAATTAGAACAAATTTCTCATACTATTATGAAATACATGCCATGTATGTTACTAGTTATTAGAGAGCCATCAGCTTATTTATTTATTTATTTATTTATTTGGTACCAGGGATCACACTCAGAACCTTCTGCTTGCAAGGCAGACGGTAGAACCATTGAGCTAAATCCCCAGCCCATCTGTCAGCCTATTTTGATATGATATTTACTGAAAACATTCTGAAATTCATTTGTACCCACATTTAACCTAGATTTTATAGCAAGAGGATGCAAATTCCAACAGTTTGGCAAGGTTTCCATTTCCCTTTTCTTCCTTAGGTGTTTTCTTACCACGAACTCTTTCTTGAATGACCTTTGAGTTTAAAAAAACTGGCCTGGTTTGTTTTGAGAATAATGTCAAATAAAGGGAGAAAGGGAGAAAAGGGACTTGAAGATGTGCTGAAAGAATTGCTGAAAACAGATTTCACTGATTTTCCAGTTTTGTCTGGTGGGAGCCCTGCAAGCTGTTGTTTACACCTGGTTTCCTTCCATACTTAGTTGAAGCTTATGAGAAACCACAGCCTGGGGCAGTAGGTCAGGGACTTCTTATTTAGAACTTATTGTCAAGAATTTGGTTCATAAATTTTATTTATAAATTGTACCTTACTACTCTTACATTAATTTTTTTCATTATCATTTTAGTTTCCTTTTTCACTTCCTTCATTTGCCAATTTGTGTTGTCTCTCATTCACTGACCTATTTACTAAAATTTTTGTTTTTTGAGGTAGGAGGCATTGAATTCAGGGCTTTACACATGTTTGGCAAGTGCTCTACCACTGAGCTACAGCTTAAATCCCACACTTTTAGGTTTTTAAAATCTTGTTAGAAAAACTCTTACTCTGAGGAGTGTATAGCTATAAAAGTATCCTAATATATTGGGTTTTCTCATCAGAGTGCCATTCAAACAGGTAAGTGTTTTTCAAACTTTGTTTTGCTTCAGATATAACTTGTTGTGAATTATTAACAAATCATTTAACTCCTATACAAATTATAGAATATCAATTCACAAACATGAAAAATACATAGAAGTAACATTCAGAAAATCATAAAGATTTGTAGAGAGGTATGAACAATTCCCTTAAAAAGTTTCAAGGTAGCAAAAATATCAGTCACTACAGAATTGTTCTTATTTTATTGTGTCATTCAAAACGCTGATGTTCTTTTTTTCATATTGAAAAATAAATCAGCCTTAACATTTATCTAAAAGAATTCTTTTATGGGACTAGGCAAATGCTAAAATTAAAGTAATAGTGGAGATTTTTTGTAATAATTTTCCTTATTAATAGGTTTCATTTTGGCAGATTCACACATGCATACAACACACCTTGATCATTTCCCCCTCACCATCATTCCCCTCTCCCCACCCATCCCCCAGTGTCACATTTGGGGGATTCAATGTGTATTTTCCTCATACCTATCCTCCCATCACTTATCATTGCCTTCCCCTCCCACTCCTTCTTATTCCCTTCCTTCTAATAACAGTCCCCTTTATACTTTCTTGTCATCTTTTTTAGATTCTACATAGCAGGGAGAATATGCAATATTTGTCTGAGACTGACTTATTTTGCTAAACATAATGATTTCCAGATCCTTCAGTATTCTTGCAAATGACAGGATCTCACTCTTCTTTGTGGCTGAATAATACTTCATTGTGTATTTATATAACCACATTTTCTTTATTTTTTTTAATCTGTTGATGGGTGGTTCCATATCTTGGGTATTGTGAATTATGTTGCAATAAACATGCTGCAGGTATCCCTATAATATGCTGTCTAAAATTGATTTGGGTATATACCAAGGAGTGGTATAGCTGGGTCAAATGGTAGCTCTATTTTTAGTTTTTAGGTTTGTTTTGTTGTTTGTTTTTGGTACCGGGGATCAAACTTGGGTCCTTACACTTGTGAGGCAGGCAGCAGAACCACTGAACTAAATCCCCAGCCCTATTTTCAGTTTTTTGAGGAACCTCCATACTGATTTCCCTAGTGGCACTAATTTGTATTCCTACCAGCAATGTAAGTGTCCCCTGCACCCTGCATCTTTGCCAGCATTCATTACTTTTTGTATTCTTGATAGCCATTCTGACTGGGGTGAGAAAGACTCTCAATCTAGTTTTGATTTTTGTTTCCCAATATTTTTTTCTGTACTGGACTTTGAACCTAGGGGCTGTACACATTAGGCAAGCACCCTGCCACTGAGCTACCCTTCAGCTCTCCTAAACATATTTTTAAATTTATATCTGACTCCTTGGAAAGGGTAAAAATGATTATTTTATCTCTTTGGTAGCTTTACTATTAATTCTATAGTGTTTTATGAATAAAGATTGAGATGTTTAATAAATTGTGTCTATTAAATGATTATTGAAGAAATTGCCTATTTATATTTAAAGCAACTCACAACAAACTATTGTTAACAAAATTGAACAAAGCTGTATTTATTTATATAAATTTCTTGCAAGAACTAATTCTGAAATGTCTGTAATGCAAGTAGTGCACTGTATGAGAATTTTAACCCATGTTTAGGTGGGGGATAAAACTCTTCTAGACTTTTATTCTAAGTATGAAAATTCAAGTATTAGACTGATTCTTTTTGACTAAGTCGTGTACTTTATATAGTTCATTATATAATCAGTTATTTAATCTTTTAGAGTAGCTGAAAGGATATTAAAACAATAATCTTTCAACCTTGCTTTTCTTTTCCAATAACTCGCTTACATGTTAATCAGTATATTCATGCTTCCTTCTCATTAGTTTTTTAAAATGCAAGGAAATGCTTTTCAGTGTATGCTGTGAGAGATTTTATTATGGGATTAAAATCTCTCAATGGACAATAGGGACAGGAGTAAGGTCCAGGTATTATGTCTCATGGAGCAATACTACCCTTCAGGTAACTCTCAAGATAATCTACTTTAAATTATCTCCTACATTTTAAAGGGAAAAGTAGTCAAGTTATAAATTTTTCATGCCATATCTTACCTCAAATTTTCCATCTTAGACCAATATATCTATCCTGTTTCTATATGCAGGATATTGAAAAAAAATTGCTGGAGAAATGCAAAAGCATTAGTTTTTACTTTTCATTGTGTACTAGGCCCTCACCGTGGCTTGAAGAATGGAAATCTGGTGTCCTCCACCACCCCTGACTTCTTGTCCTCAGCGCCAGATGGCTATGCTTATTCTTTAGAAACAAAATGAAAGCACCAGATTGGAGCTCTCAGCTTCATGTTCTACAATGAACAAATGTATCTGCTTCCACACACTCTTACAGGTGGCCCCCTTTGGATGAAGGCTAAGCCATTCATCCACACTCTATCACAAGCTCAGTGATTTTGTGCCTGTGATTGATCATTTATCATCATCCTCTTCTTTATTTTCCAAGGATCCCTGTTCTATGTCCAGCCCATAAACCCTTTCTCTTCTTATTGTGTATATCACAAAGGCCTTTTATCCAAGCCTCACATTAAAGACATCTCCATTGTCTCCAGCCCTGATAGCACTCCTGAGCTCCAGATGCCCACAATATGTGTCTGCCTATCTTCTGGACAATACCTAAATCTTCAAATGTTCAAAATTAATGCACCATAATTGTGAAATTATTATTATTATTATTATTATTATTATTATTATTTCTCTTTCTCTGACCGGGGATCGAACTTGGGTCCTTGTGCTTGTGAAATTATTTTATTACCTTCTCCTCTGAATTCTTACTAGTGAATACTACTGTGATTGTCTAATCCCACAACCTATGAATCATTTTTGTCTCTTCCTTCTCTCTTATTTTCTTATTTTAGAGAATTACCAAGCTCTGTGGACTGTAATAATGATGACTAGTACTGAATATGGACAGGTCACTGTTCTAACAAAACTACTTGTATTGTCTAACAGTCTCTTCAGTCTTTCTATTATATGGGTTGCCATTTTTTTCTCCATTTTAAAATTAAGGAAACTGAGGCCCAGAGAGGCAAATTAGGTCACATGGGTAATAAAGGGAAGAGATGAAAAAAGATGAGATCTAAACCCAGGCTTCTTAACCACAGAAATGGCCTCTTCACCATCCTATGCTGGCCTTCCTGAAGGACCCTTGTTAGCAAGACAGACTCCATATTGCTGCTTGACCCACCTGCCTGTCCTTTAGATGAACTCAGAAGGAGGAAGCTTAGAAACCTCCTCCCCTTAGAGAGTCTCTTAGAAACAACAATTAATCAACTATTGTTTTACAAATGTTCTAACAGCAGGACGTTCCGCTTCTGTACCTTTTGGTTGCTTTACTAGTTCTATCCCATGGTGGGGGGGGGCTAGAAACTGTTGGCCTCAAAGGTGTATAAAACATGTTTGTCTTCCCCCAGTCAGGGTTTGAGTCCGATGCTCGGCTCAGGTCCCCACTGGTAATAAACTCCTGTGTGGATTTAATATCAGTCTCTGGTCGGTTCTCTCTCTCTGGGTGTAACATTCTTGGAGGCCCCAGCGAGATAGCCAGCTGCTCTGGAGCTTATTATCTTGGAGCCTTTGTTTCTTTTTAGGAGAGACCAGGATCAGACATTGGCGGTGTTTGGCCCCTCTGGACATTGGTCTGTGGAAGGAGAGGCCACCCTGATGGTATTCTGGGGCTAGGCCACCCTGACGGTATTCTGGGGCTCTGGGTAGGCCGGTCCCAGTCGGGCCCCATCACCGATCAACCGACCCACAGGAGTTTATCGAGGAAGCCTCTAGAGGTAAGAATCAAATGATTCTTAGTGCACTGTGGTAGGTAGGAGGAAGCCAGACGTGGCGCAGGTTCCTCCTACCTAGAGCCTCTTCGGGATGGTGAGCAGGCTCAACTGGGTTGGAGTCTTCAGAAGAGTGACTCCCTGGGTGGGGTCTGAATCCATTCGGCCCCAGAGGTTTATGTGGCCAAAGTCTGTTTTTGTCTGTTTATTGTTGTCTGTCTATCTGCTTGCTTTGTGTGCCTTTTGTGTTTTCACAGGTTGAAATTATGGGTTCCTCACAGTCCACAGAAGGAACTCCACTTGATTGTGTTTTGAATAACTTCAAAAAATTTATTCCACAGACAGAGAAGATGAATATGGCATAAAAGTTTCCAAAGGCAAATTGCGAACTCTGTGTCAATCAGAATGGTCAAGTTTCGGAGTCAGTTGGCCCCCGGTGGGAATTTATTCTGTGCACATTGCTAGCAAGGTTTGAAATGTGGTCACGGGAGTCGGGGCCCCACAGGTCTCAATTGACTTTTGGCACTCGATCGGGACAGGACTATGGTCCATCAGCCCCATCTTCCTCCTCCTTTTTTCCTTTAAAACAGACAGAGCCTGGGGGAGGATTGATTTATGTCCCTTTTACAACTAATGATCTTTACAATTGGAAACATCAAAATCCCCCCTTCTCTGAAAAAACCTCAGGCATTAATCTCTTCTTGAGTCTGTTTTTCATACCCATCAGCCAACCTGGGATGATTGCCAGCAGCTTTTACAGATCCTGCTCACCACTGAGGAGCGGGACTGCATTTATCAACAGGCAGTCAAAGAGGCCCTGGGACCAAACCCTGGCATCACTCCCAGAACTCCAAGGCATTCAGCCAAGGCTGAAACAGTAGTTCCATCGTGACACCCTGAATGGGACCCCAATGATGATGATGGTAAGAGGAGGCTGGGGACCTACTGCCAGCACTTATTAGGGGGACCCCGGGCAGCGGCCAGAAAGCTCACTAATTTGAGTAAGGTAAGTGAGGTTTGCCAGGGAGAAATGGAGTCTCCGACTGCATTTTTGGAGAGACTCTTGGAAACCTATAGAGTTTTCACTCCTTTTGACCCAGAGGCACCCAAAAATGCAGCAGCTTTAAATCCGGCCTTTGTTTCCCAGTTGGCCCCAGGCATTAAAAAAAATTACAGAAATTAGAGGGATTTGAGGGAAAGAATAAGACTAAACACCTGAGCATAGCCCAGAAAGTTTATGATAACCGTGATGCCCCCCCCCAAGGAAGTCCTAGCCAAGAAACTGGGGAAAGTCACTATTGCTGCACTCCAGACACAAGAGACAGTCCCTCCAGACAGAAAAAGAGAAAGCCACCTTTTTGTCTTTAAAGAAAGCCTTAGTGTCAGCACCAGCCCTGGCCCTACCTGATGTCACCAAGCCCTTTTGGTTGTCTGTGGATGAATGAGGGGGCATAGCCAAAGGAGTGCTAGCTCAGGCATTAGGGCCTTGAAACAGACCTGTGGCCTACTGTCTAAAAGACTTGATCCTGTGGCAAGTGGTTGGTCTACCTGTCTGAGGGCAGTTGCAGCCACCACCCTCCTGGTCAAGGAGGCAGATAAGCTCAGCCTGGGATGGGACCTGGTCATCACTGCACCCCATGCAGTGGAAACATTGCTGAGAGGAGCCCCAGAACAATGGCTCTCCAATGCCTGCCTGACTCAGTACCAGGTCCTGTTGCTGGATGCTCCATACATCAAATTTGCCTGAGAAACGACCCTCAATCCAGCCACCTTACTCCCGGACTCCAACTCATACGCATGCCCCTCCATAACTGTCTGGACACTCTGACAACTTCCACCACCAACAGCCCAGATCTGACTGATGTTGCCCTGCAAAGCCCAGATGAGACCTTCTTCACTGATGGAAACAGCTTTGTGGAAGATTGAGTCAGGTATGTGGGGGCAGCCATAGTCAGTCCAGAAAAACAGGTACACTGGACACAGGCATTAAGCCAAAAGACTTCAATGCAGAGGGGTGAACTAATAGCCTTAGCTCAAGCCCTGTTAGGTCAAGACAAGGCTGTAAACATCTACACTGACAGCTGGTATGCATTCACCACTGCCCATGTACATGGTGACATCTACAGACAGAGAGGGCTATTGACATCAGAAGGGAAAACTATATAAAAAATTTTGGCCTTATTGGAGGCAATTTGAAAACTCAGGGCATTGGCCATTATTCATTACAAAAGCCACCAAAAAAGAGACAGCTTTGAAGCCCATGGTAACCGAGAGGCCGATGATGTGGCCCGAAGGGTGGCCAAAGAACCAGTGGGGCCAATAGACATTCTGCCTGTCTGGCCCCTTGGCTACCTGCCAGAAAAGCCCACATATACCCCTGAAGAGAAAGAGGAAAATCAAAAGCAAGGGGGTACAAAATTGGACTCAGGCTGATGGAAAGGGACAAAGGAACAAATTTGTCTCCCCCAAGCCCTGGGGCAACAACTTGTTCATCAGTTACATCACTTAACTCACCTGGGAAAATCAAAGTTAAAAAGACTAATGAGCTCTAAGTTTTCAATCCCAGGACTGACCTCTGTGGTCCAGGACATCAGTTCCAGGTGTCAGATGTGTACACAGTTAAACTCCAAGGCAAGACCAAGGAACAAAGGTAATTGACTATGGGGAAGAGAGCCAGGGGAACATTGAGAACTTGATTTCACTGAAATAAAATCCAGCAATAGGTTCAAATATTTACTGGTATTGGTTGACACCTACTCAGGTTGGGTAAAAGCTTTCCCCACTCCTGGAAAATCAGCCATCATAATAACTAAGGTTTTGCTCCAGGAGATAGTGCCTCAATTTGGCATCCCTCATTACCTGGGGTCCGACAATGGCCCTGCCTTCATGGCACAGATATCTAAATTGTTGGCAAGGGCACTACATATTGATTAGAAGTTACACTGTGCCTATCGCCCACAAAGTTCAGGGCAAGTAAAAAGGATAGATAGGACCCTGAAAGAAACCATGACTAAATATGTTCTAGAAACTGGCGGTAGGTGGCCCGATCTGCTTCCTCTAGCCTTGTTAAGCGTTAGATGTACCCCATACGTGACAAGTTTACCCCTCTTAAAATCCTGTATGGGAGGCCACTGCCACTCTTCCCTAAGTTAAACCTTGAACAGATAACAGAGAATTCTTGTGTCTCTTTACTTCAGTCTCTTCAAGCCTTACAGATCCTTCAGAGTGAGATCCAGGCTAAAAAACAACAGGCTCAAGAAAAAAAACCTTTGTGAGGTTCCAGCCCCATGGTTTCAAGCCAGGAGACCTGGTCCTGATATGCTTGGTTGCTTGCACTGAGGACTTGACTAAATACATTCCCAAATCAGTCTTGGCTATCCAATCTGCCACTTCATTTTGTGTCACCATGTATGTTGTTCCACAAGTCTTGTATTATAATAAAAAAGGGGGCCATGAACATCTGGGATTAACCACTGAACACTACAGGAGTAAATGGACTGCCCCCATTTTAGTGCCCATTCTGGTGGGATTAGGAATAGCTGGGTCAGTGGCTACTGGAACTTCCTTCCTGATCCTTCAGGACACAAATTTTAAAGCCCTAAGCTACCAAGTAGCCAGAGATTTGGGTCACCTGAAAGACTCGATCTCCAGATTAAAAAACCAGGTTGATTCCCTAGCTGAGATGGTCCCGCAAAATCAAAGGAGACTTGACCTCCTGTTCATAAAACAAGGAGGGTTATGTGTAGCCCTAAAAAAAAAAAACCTGTTGCTTCTATGCTAATCAGTCTGGTGTTATTAGAGCTACCTTACCTATAGTCAGGGAAAATTTAAAGACTAAATATGCTCAACAAAAGGATCAAAATTGGTTTCAAAATCTATTTGACTGGTCCCCATGGTTAACTACCCTACTTTCTGC